GTGAAAGGACAAGGAATAGGAAAATAAGGACAAGTCAAGTAGACTGCCATCTTTGGCAACATCATCTGCGAATACTTAATAAATTCAAGTACGAGCTATAACACAAAACATTCCACAGTAAATAAAAAGCAAAATCAACAAACACACTAGTCATTCATTATACCCTGAAGTCTTCATGAACAACTCCTAAAGGGTGAAATTCCCCCAAAACATAGAAAAGTCACTGCAATCAAGACAATCAAAATTCAAATAACTTCTTTAGTGTCACTAAACTGAGCATCTAGTTTATTTTTACTCAACCCTGATCTGGAACAGACTTCAGGAGGCTATCAGACAAATAAAACATAGGTTAGAATAAATTTAAAAAAATAAAAACATGAAAATAAAATAAGAACAGGGAGAACAAAACGAAGCCAAGAATGAGGCTTAAAAAACAAGTACAACAATAAGTCCTACAAATTTGGCTCTAAACTTCCAAAAGCCAACAGGATAATGGAGACCTAGTGAACAACACAAATCATAACAGCCAGGTAATAAAAACAGACTTAAAAGCTTAGGAAAAAATACAATTATTCTTGGTTGCATATCTTTGCCCTGAAGTCCTTATAAAGAAGGCATTGTGTAACATAAAGATGTATTTTACATATAAAACAACATATATTTCTGTAGTCACTAATGAAATGTTTTATGGAATTATTTTTATTCTAACCTTCAAGATAAGCCTATGATAACAGTTTACAGAGTTTTTTTGGTTTTTGTTTTTTTGTTTTTAAGGGAAAAGAAGTCTACAAACTATCCAGGTACTCAGAACACTGATGATCTAAGAATATATTTAAGAGAATATCTGGAAAAGAATTTTTTCTTTACAGGTACTTACTATAAAAGTTTATAAGCACAAGCGTAAGAAAATGAAAACTAAATTCAGCAAAACTAGGTACAGGTCCAGGAATTCCTAACAAAATAGCAGAACAAAACTTAGAAATGAGGAGGAGGAATACAAAGAAAAACTAAAGTGAAGAAGAGAGTGTGGGCGCACAAGCACACACTCAACAGTTCTTGTTATAAACACGAGATAACTATCAATAAATGCTTCTATTCCTACTTCTACAATTAAGAATTAAACACTGAGGTAGTTATTGAAACATACAGCTTCCTTTCTAGTCCCTCGATCAAGAAGATGACGTTTTTAAAAAGAATGGTATAGCACAAGGAACTCTACTCAATGCTCTCTGGAGACCTAAATGAAAAGGAAATCCAAAAGCGGGGATATATCTATACGTAAAGCTGATTCATTTTGCTGTACAGTATAAACTAACATAATATTGTAAAGCAACTACACTCCAATTTTAAAAAAAAAGCCAAAAAAAAAAAGAATGAAATGCCATTTGCAGCAACATGGATGGACCTAGAGATTATTATACTAAGCGAAGTAAATCAGAAAGACAAATACCATATGATACCACTTACTTGTGGAATCTAAAACATGACCCAAATGAACTTATTTATGAAACAGAAACAGACTCACAGGCATAGAAAACAAACTTATGATTACCAAAGGGGAAAGGGGGTGGGGGAGGGATAAATTAGGAGTTTGCAATTAGCAGATACAAACTACTATATATAAAATAGATAAACAAGGTCCTACTGTATATAGCACAGTGAACTAATATTCAATACCCTGTAATAAACCATATGGAAAAATATATGAAAAAGAATATACATAGATATATGTATAACTGAATCACTTTGGTGTTAACCAGAAACTAACAAAACATTGTAAATCAAAGTATTTATACTTCAAATAAAAAAAAAAATTTTTAAGATGATGTTTAAATTCCTGCTCATTCCACCGTGATGTTACTAAACAACGATATAGGTCAAACTCAATGTAGTGCAGATTTTCCAAAGTAGCAGTTACATGTACCAAGACAGGAAGACATACAAATATAACATTTTTGGATGATTTTCCAAAAAGAACTTAAAATAAAAAGGTATAACAGTTTTAAAGATAAAAACAGTTAACCAAAAAAAAAAAAAAAAAAAAGGAAAAGGAAAGAACTCTAAACATGTCTCATCCAGCAATATTAGAATTTACTAACTGTAAAATGATAAACACACAATTCTCAACAACATATAAAACCAATCATTCTGCTACTGCTAGCATGTGCCTAGGATTTACAATGAATCATTGATTTTCCTCTTGGAAAGAACATAGGAAATAAGGAAAAACACACATGAATTCTTGGTGAAAGCTTGTAATTTTCAGGGAACCATCCACTTGTAATTTAAGCAACATTTAAAAACAATTCATTTCAACAGTCTTCTCAGTATACTAAGTATTTTCATTGTGGCTCTGCTCAGACTAAATCTACTGACTTTATCTCCGACAGTACTTCAGCAAAGGAGTGAAATACTAGACAGGCTACTGTAAGAGGTAAAAAGTTGAAATTCACCAGCTGGGTCAAGCTCCTGAAGAGTTAACTAACTTCTTATTCCAGGACTCAAGAATTATAAATCTGGTTATAAGATTTGGGAGGGACTATTAAATCACAAAGAAAAGGCTTCTCAGCATCCAAAGAACCTCCCTTTTTTTTTCTTTTTTAATCAAAGCAATGCGTCCACTCTCACTGGCCAATTGCTGAAAATCTTTAAAATACTCAGAAGGTCAACAAACACCTGGCTAAATACTAGCCTTAGGAGTCAATCTGGTAACCTTGCTTAACAAGAACTTAAAAGTATTTACACTTTATTGGTGGTTTTAATTTGTCAATAAATTCATATATATCATAATGTGCAAAAAGTACATTTATTTGACAGTACTTTTAGTGTCCAAATTGTCCTTACTTTAATATGATCTGAAGCACGGAAACTCAACTTTTTAAAGCATTATTTAGTTGATTTCATTGTAAGAGGATTAAACTGATCCCAAAAAGCTTCCTAAAATGATCCCTCAGTTGTCCTTATAATTCACACCCTGCCAATCAACCAACCATTATGTGAGAAGAAAACCCAAAACGAAGTGAATGGACTAAGAGGTCTTTTCAAATCACTAGACTTACCCCATGAAATAAAAAAAGTTCTCTCTTAGGTATTTTGATTTCACTGGGTTGGAACAGTTACCCACAACATTACCAAAAGTCAGAAATGTTTCCAACACAATGTGTCCTGAAAAGATTAAGCTTATAGAGTCTAGGTGTTTTTCTTCATCCAATACACAAAATAAGTAAAGGAAACTTAAAATGTTTCAACTACAGTATGTTACACAAAATTACTTTTAAACACAAAATATTCAACTGTTAACGAAGATTTCTTAAAACAGTGGTTTACACAGCAAAGTCAGTGGGGATAATGCCACAAATACTGGCAAGCTGATTTAAGCTACTAATCCATTTAAGGAACGGTAACTATGTTACAGCAGTAGCAAGGCTCTGAAATTTATTTGCTTTAGACCTGAATATAGAAATGGACTCTTGAGCACAGTAAACTAACAAATGGTAATGGAACTTGGTCTATGAGGAAAAAATACAGCAAAATTATCCAGATTTTTTCACTCAAAATAGAAACACAAACCAAAATTTCATACTCGGATCCAGTGTTATCCATGTGAATAACATAAACAAAACTGAAAAAAAAAAAGGAAATTTACTTATGCTTGAGAGCATAGCTGTCTCAACGAATTCTCCAGTGAAAAGCTTAGTCACCTTTTTATTTCAGGCAAGGGAAAGCCAATTATTCCAACATATCCACCTATTTCAGGCTTCTCTAGTAATCCAACCTTTACAACATCCCTATCCAAAAAGGAAATGAAAGAGGATCTACTAGTCAACTCCCCTGCCCTTCTTTTCCAACTACTCTGTTTACTCTCTCATAAGTCTCGATAAATGTACACTGATCTTTTTTTTTTTTTTTTGGGGGGTACTCGGGCCTCCTTTTTATTTTTATTTTTTTGCGGTACGCAGGCCTCTCAGTGCTGTGGCCTCTCCTGTTGCGGAGCACAGGCTCCGGATGCGCAGGCTCAGCAGCCATGGCTCATGAGCCCAGACGCTCTGCGGCATGTGGGATCCTCCTGGACCAGGGTATGAACCCATGTCCCCTGCATCAGTAGGCCGATTCTTAACCACTGCGCCACCCAGGAAGCCCCTATTTCCCCATCTATCTTTAAGGAGATATATTTTACTTCCTTATCTGTAAGGAGCAGAATGCAGGGTCAGGAGGGAAGAACAAGAGTAAAGCACCTTTGGCTCAACCAGGTCCATCTAAAGTGCCACACAAAGCTTATGAATAATTTTCCTCAAACCAACAGATTTTGAAAATCCAGTACAAATTTATCCCAAATATGTCAATACATTTTACTTAACTGAGAGAAAATAAAATCCAAATCTGATAAAGATGGTTTCTTTTAGGGAGAGAATGAGGTTGTGAAAGCAGACTGTGCTTGGAGGCAACCTATAAAATACTCTGAAGCATTTTCTGATTATTAGTCCTTAAAACATACGGAAATCTCAAGTGGGTACGTTAAAGACTGGGTACGTTCTCTGCTGAAAGCTCAATTAGAAGCAACTATAAATTCCAGCGAACTTAACTAGGTCAACTAAACTTTTGGCCCCACTTACTAGAAACAACAAAATGTGAAGTCAAGCCTTATAAACTTACAAAAATATCCTACATATAGTTTCAAAAGAAATCTAATTATTCACTCTGAAAGGATGGGTACACTTTTACAAATTGGAAGTCTTCCAGTTTTTTCTTAGTAAGATTTCAATGGGAAATTAACAGCTTTTACCCTACAGCAACACAAACGCTGTACCAAATATACCTTCCATTTCTTCACTAGCAGGTATACATGCACCCACCTACCTAAAATTAGGAAAAAGACAAACGAAAGAAATCTAGGTGCCTATATACAAAGAAGCCCATTCTTCCCATGATGGGAATTCACCAACTCTTTCTCTCTTGTCCAAACATTTCCCAAGAATGACATTATGCATGATTCTACTCACAGGGGTAAGTGGCGCTGCTCAGGATCAGCTCTGGTCAGTTCTTCCTCTTCAATATCAGACTCTCCCCCTGAACTACTGTCAGTGACGTCTGAATCAAATGCTTGTTCACTGCACCTCAAGTTGGCTATACCACTGGCTGTAAATCTGTCCAATTCTTCTGATATCGAATCACTTTTCAGGAAGTTGCTAAGTCCCTCTGAAGTGGCGGTCTCACTGGCAGCTTTTCTCAATGCAGCTTCAGCCTTTCGAGTTAGCATCAACTGGCTCCGGGGCCTCAAGGATTCCAAGTTTGGCAGTTTGCTCAAAGTTTTCTCTAAAAATCCACCCAGCTGATGCTGTATATGCCTCTCCACCTGCTTGGCTTGCACAACCTGTAAGCGCTTCTGTAACCTGCGGGCACGGCTCTCAATATCAGCCTGCCGCCGTAGTAAAGCTGTTATCCTTGTGTCGGAATCTAAAGCACTGAAAAGAATGGAAGACAGGGGAGACTTTTTACCCTCTAATTTGACACCCCCCAAGTTAGAACTGGAGTCTGTGTCAGGTGATAACCTACTGCTTCCTTGAAGTGCCGGCGGCTGTTCCATGGAATTTACAGAAGATTTGTTTGCAGTGCTATTATTGCTAAATATCGTTGTGTGTTCTACATCAAGGCTTCTATGTGGAAGAGTGCAATTGGTCATACCCCCTTTCAAGTCCCCAGATTCAGATGTCACCACTTCACCCCCCTGAAGAGAAGATGACGTGAGAGCTCGTTTTCCCCCATTAAGGGGACTGGAATTGTCGTGATCAGAATGTGTTGAACTTTTAGTCAATTTCTTCGCCAACCCATTTACAGGCGCTTGTGGCAGAGCTGTCTGACCACTTGTATTCATGGTTCTAAGATTTTCTAAGGAAAACTCCAAAACTGGCTGTCTCCCCAACAGCTCAGCTCGGAGTTCATAGGACTGAGATAAGAGAGGATGAGATTTAAGTACTGTCTGCTTGCTGAAGACACCTTGCAATTTCAACGATTCCTTTGAGGGAACAGATGTTACATCGGAGCAAAGATAAGATGCCACCAGTGGTTGCAGCTTTCCCAAGTCTTCCTTGTTAGGATTATTTCGGAAGTCTAGACTGGGGTCCTCTGCAGCAATGGCTTTTCTTTTGGTTCCGCTGGCAGCAATAAGGATGTTGGCGTTGCCGTTATTTTCGGCACTGCCAGGGGACAAAGTGGAGGATGGGGGAGCCAGTTTGAACCGGATATGGTGTGCTTCAGCTGCTGCGTCAGTGAGAGCGGGCGCCATCGCAGCCATTCAGCACAGAGAGACAGGAAGTCCAGCCTCTCCCGGTGCCGAGGCCAGCTCCACAGCCCCTTACCGCCTCCCCAGAGAACAGACTACAAGAGAAAGAAGAAAAGGAAGTTAGAAATACAAGCACGTTAGAAAACAACACACATGTTTTTAATACAAACATTACTTGAGGCTGTTAACCAAACTCTGCCTCCAGAAGAAAAATACTCAAACCAAAAGGGGAGATGTGTTGGGGCAGGGCCACAATCCCTGCACAAGAGAAAGAATTCCATCCTTTTTTGTCACTTGTTACCATAAATTGAAAGTAGCCACAGACTGTTAAAGTTAAATCATCTGCATCTAAAAAATATCTTTAAAACTTCTTGAAATTAGTGAATTTAAAGCAAATGTATCAAACTAAACACCCAGTAATTAAACAGAAAAGAATTAGTAAGGAACTCCTCATCCCTACCAAAGTTTCTATGCCAATTGTCACAGGTCTGTACATTTTTCTGGCCAAAGGATCCAATGTTCGTCAGCTTCCCACTTCTCTGCAAGACAGATCATACTAAAAGCTTAATTGTATCACACCTGTGTTACCAGTTCACTTCATCGATTTTCTTTTCTTTTGCTGTCCTCAGTATGGCCCACCTCTCAAATTAACTGCCCAACTGATGTGTCTCTTTCCTTTACCCGAAAACTTCTTGAAAAAATAGTTATAGGGCTTCCTTCCCTGGTGGCGCAGTGGTTGAGAGTCCGCCTGCTGATGCAGGGGACACGGGTTCATGCCCCAGTCCGGGAGGATCCCACATGCCGCGGAGCAGCTGGGCCCGTGAGCCATGGCTGCTGGGCCTGCGCGTCCGGAGCCTGGGCTCCGCAACGGGAGAGGCCACAACAGTGAGAGGCCAGCGTACCACAAAAAAAAACAAAAAATAGTTATAAATAGCTGCCTCTGCACTTCTCACTCTTCTATAATCTGGCCTCTACTCCTACTGCTCTGGCAAAGGTCACCAGTAACCTCATTATCAACTCCAATGCTCAAGCCTAAATCCGCATTCTATCTGACTTCTCTGAAGCCTTAGGTAGTGCTGACCACCCCACTCTTCTTGAAATTCTCCTTTCCCAATGTCCTTGACAACAAGGTCCATTCTTCTGCCCTCTTCTCTCTCAACTCACTTCCTTGGCAACAACCACTATAGCAACATGGTGAGGCCTCCTACCGCTCAGAAAAATATGCTCAGCTGCACTAATCAACATCCCCACCTCTATGTTCCTCAAGCCCCCTGAAACTCAAAACTGACTTTCTTTTTACTCCTTACCCATTTCTATTATCTCAGGTAATGGTATTGCTTTCATTTAGTAACCCAAGCTAAAAACCTCAGCCATCTGCCACTTCTTTATCCCCTTTGATTTATCTGGTCTGAGAGTAAAAGGAAATCTATGCAAAGAACTAAGCCAGCAGTTCCTAAAGTGTGGCCTATGGCCTTTTTGAGAACTCGAAGACCATTTCAGAGGTCCACAAGATCAAAGCATTTTCGTAATAATATTAAACGTTATTTGCCTTTTTTTCATAGTGCTGACATTCGCAATAAGGGTGCAAAAACAAGTCTGCACCCTGGTACCTTTGCACAATTCAGGGCAAAGGCACCAAACTACTAATAACCACTGGTCACTGTATTCTCTATTCATTTAAAAATAAATAAATAAATAGGTTAGTACCACTGACCTTTGATGTCCTTGGTGAAATATGAAAATAATGAACTTTATAAAATCTCCACTCGAGTCTTCAGTGTGTGTGTGTGTGTGTGTGTGTGTGTGTGTGTGTATAGGTATACAAATATTCTGTGCAATGAAAGGGAAAGTAGACATAAAGCACTTCTGCTGCTTTAAGAAATCTGAGAAAAAGCACTAGTACAACTGAGTTACAAGCTGAACTAGAAGCTTCCCTTCACGGAACACTATTTTTACTTGGCAGAACAACTGACAAACTATGATTATTCAGACTTGAATAGTTAGCAGACATTTTCTTGAAAATGAACAAAGTGAACCTGTCATTTCAAGGAAATCCAATGATGATGTTTGTTGCCAATGAGAAAATCTGAGTTTTCAAGCAAAAGTAAGTATTTTGAAAACGTGTATCCACCACCATGAGCTTGAACATTTCCCCAATACTGAAGTCTTGATTAAGTAGACTACTGCTGATATTAGTGAATGAGAATTTGATACCACATAATGAAATGTGTCAACCTTTGGAAGATCTGCATAACTCAGTGAATGACCAAATGACCAAGATCGTTAGAAACGAGTGCATGGGTAAAGTAAGTGCAAGAAAAGACAATGGATTAATGTGACAGAGTATGAAAAACTCACTGAAACAGCTTTAGATTCCATAGTGCAGCTAACCTTTATGAAACTACTACTTGTCAAGTTTGAGTATAGTGTCAAAGGATAGCCACACTTTAAAAGGCTACTTAAATACTCCTCTCTTTTCCAAACTACACATCTGTACAAGGTCAGATTTTCTTTACATAATCCCAAAACAACGTATCACAATAGAATGAATGCAGAAGCAGATAGGAGAACCCAGCTGTTTTCTATTAAGCCAGACATTAGGAAGATTTGCAAAAATGGAAAATAATGCTATTCACACTTAATATTTTTTTTGTTCTGATAAAAAGTTAGTTTCATAATATGTAATAGGTTTGTTATTTTTAAATGAATTCGTAAATAATTTTTTTTTTTTAATTTGGCCACACTGCGTGGTTTGTGGGATCTTAGTTCCCCAACCAGGGATTGAACCTGCGCCCTTGGCAGTAAAAGCGCAGAGTCCTACCCACTGGACCGCCAGGGAATTCCCCGTAAATAATTATTCTTTGAATTTCTCGAAGTTTCTAATCAACTACTGATAATAACCCATAAAAGGTCTCTGTGGTTTTCAACATTTTTTAAAAGTGAAAAGAGGTCTTGGGACCAAAAAGTTTATGAATCACTGAACTAAACGCAACCTCCTCCTCTCTCAAAAAAAAAAGAAAAATGACAGCAACTTCCAATTTGGTCAAACATTTTATCTTTAGATAACAATCAACATAGGATGGTAAGCCCTGTAGTACTACTCTAAGATTCTTCATAGTATGGCAATTCAAATCGTTAGTATCGAAATATTTAAGTAAATGATTGAGAAAACATCCGTACAAATACCAATACACTTATAGGTCAAATTTGACTACTGCTCTATGTAACTGCCAAAATTTTCTCACTCTAAGCTTATAATAACTTTAACAAACATCCTGTATTCATTAAACTAGATCTTCTGGGGATTACAGAGTTTTATCCTCATGGACTTTCTAGCATATGGCATTCTGTGTGACTAACTGTTCTATGTCCACTTTTCCTATTTCTGATTTTAAATTTAAAAATAATTCCTAATGTAATAAAAAATAGTTATGTTACACTGGTTGAACTGACAGATGAACCAATGTAAGTTCTTTATTCAAAATACCTTAAGTCAATTTTATAAAAGGCATTTTCTCCCATAAACAAAAATCACTATCTTATCTTTCCCATCAACTCAATATCCTCTTTCGAACTGATATCAATACACAGTTGATACTGGCAATGCAAGGAGGCACATTATCAGTGCCAGATGATTAATACAGCATATGAGAGTAGATGTAGCCTACTACCCAAGAGCACTACAGTTAAGTCTCAGAAATAGCAGGAAACAGTCTCCCTCTGGGGACTCAAGCAAGGGCACAGATGTTACACAGCTTCCACAAAACTTACTGAGGAAAACCCATGTTCACACAGTTCACGTAAAAAGAGGGGTGTAATTAACATCACACCACAGAGGTACTTAAGCAGTAAACATACCAAAGTTATTTCAGAATTATTCAGGTCTTAAAAATTCACAACTTAAAGAAAAACCTGCTGACTCAAATCCCATCTCTTTCAAGATTTCTCTGACCCTCCGCAAGCAGCCCGAGAACTTGACATTAATCACATACACCTCAAAAGCGAATTTATTTTGCTTACACTCCGTCCTTGGTCTCAATATCCCCATAGGATGCATTGCAAAGAGTAGTTACTAAAACAATTGTCTCAATAAATAGGGAAGGGGAAGAGTGAAGTCTTCAGAAGAAATTCCACTCCTAACTCCTAAATCTTTATCTTTCTACAACAAAACTGCTGTTAAAAAATATATATTAAAAACTACACCCCTCTCCCTTCATTGACTTGAAACGCTGTGCTGAGATGCAATATTACTCCCAAAGACACTCACAGATAAGGGGAGCCGGTCCAGGTTCACATCCTGGCTCCGCCTGTATTTAAATTATTTAACTATTCTGTTCCCTCAATTTCCTCATCTGCAAGAAACAGAGCTGACCTCAGAAGGCTGCTGTGATGATTAAACAAAATACTTTCAATTACTTAACCTAGTGCCTGGCACAAGCACCATTATTTGCACTGTTATTATAACCTCGAGACAAAAAGCAAATATTACTGAAACGAAAAAATGTGAGATGAAAAAAAAAGGTGTTAAAAAATAAAACATATACTATGACCTCATTTCTGTTTTAAAAAGTAGGTGATAAGATCCTTTTGTCTTTTTTTTTTTTTTTTTTACATTTTTATTGGGGTATAATTGCTTTACAATGGTGTGTTAGTTTCTGCTTTATAACAGAGTGAGTCAGTTATACATATATATATGTTCCCATATCTCTTCCCTCTTTTGTCTTTTATTTTCTGGCTTATGTAATGTTTCCACCATAAACATGTATTGCTTATGTAATAAAAGGGAAGCAAGCAAAAATAATGCAAATTCTTAAAGATCCAAAAAAATGTGAATAAGGCAAAATATCACAATAGCTTTCTTAAATTTAACATAATGAGCAAAATGTTGATTGAAACGATTCCCATCCCACTTGAATCCCAAAAAACATCACTACTCAACAATTCAGAGCAGAGAAAAACTGTCAGACTTAAGCAGTTTTACAAAAACAGTTTATGATAAATCACCTTTCTCC